CTGCACAAACTCACGTAGCGTAGGAGACAGGAGCAATTAGAAGGTCGTACACAGTTGCAGAACTGTAGCTGTGTTGGACATGGTGAGATGACTCACATGACCAGGAAGACAGGCTGGGAAGGTGAGGAGAAGGGGTTGTCCTCCATGCCAATAAGTGCCTGGAGCTCTGCCTTGGGATGGATGGTGAGCCAGTTGGGAGCTGATGGGCAAGGATCCAGGGATAGACCAGTATGGATGACACTGGAAGAATTTTTAGCTTCAAGTGAAACAATAAGCAGCAGGAGGAGAGTGCTGACTTTTAGCAATTTAGAACATGGCCAAGTCTAAACAGGGTTTCAAGGAACTGCAAAGAGACAGTGCTCTTACTACCAGCAGGACTTTGGAACTTGACAAAGTGGAACTCTGGGAGAAGAGAGGGTGAGAGAACGTCAGAAGAAAACTGTCCAAAGAAACCACTGACACATTGATAGCACAGTGTACGTTCATTACCTGGCAGCTCTTCAGCAGAAGTCTGCACTTCTCTGAGGTTCAGAGCCCAGGCAGCTGGACTGAGGATGCAGAAAGTAGCAGAATAACCTTAAAATTTTACCCAGAGCAGGCAGCTGAAAGGTGTCCTGCAGGCTGTGCACGTGCTGTTAGTCTGCTGTGATCTTACTTGAGCCTCTGCCAGCTGTAAAATGAGGATGACCTGACCAATGCATTCCTATGTCACAAGCAGGATGTGGGACAGTTAATTAGACTGTGCCTGTAAAAGACAGAAATTGGGATCAGTGTGTTATATTGCAAAACAAAGGCTGTTTCACATTCGCCCTACACTGAATTTGTTCCTCTGAATGCAGGAGTTCCTACCTGTAACCTTGTCTTACAGTGTTGTGAGCAGGGAGTTGCTCGCAAGTGATGGACTCACGGACTGAGGCTATTCTAATAAACTGCACCTGGTACTAATCCTTTGCTTGTGCAGATGGATGGAGTACAGACACATGGACCATGGGGAGAATCCATAGGGAAGCTGTAAGAACAATCAGCAGACATGACCCCCCGGAAAAGCTGAAAGAGCTGGAGGTGCCTGGTGAAGGGAAGATGAGAGGTGAAGCACGTATTTTGAAATGCAGGAACAGTTACTGCGGAAAGGAAGGAAAGAAGCTCTTTTCTATGTTATTGTGATTAATGCTTAAATTGCAGCAAGGAAGGAATGGCTTGAACAGGAAGAAATGTGGTGCACTATTTTCTACCTGCACAGTTATTTGTAGTAGAGTGATTTTGTGTTGAAAATTGGGGTTTCTGTACTCTCAGGCTCTAATGTGGAATTGTGACCCAGCAGCTGCAGCCGTGTAGTGCTTGATCACAGAATCACAGAATGTTGGGGATTGGAAGGGACCTCGAAAGATCATCCAGTCCAACCCCCTGCCAGAGCAGGAACCTCAATGAGATCACACAGGAAGGTGTCCAGGCAGGTCTTGAATGTCTCCAGAGAAGGAGACTCCACACCCTCCCTGGGCAGCCTGTCCCAGGGCTCTGTCACCCTCACTGTAAAGAAGTTTCTTCTCAAGTTGAAGCAGAACCTCCTGTGTCCCAGCTCACACCCATTGCCCCTTGTCCTACCATCGGGCATCACTGAGAAGAGCCTGGCTCCATCCTCCTGACACTCACCCTTTACATATTTATAAACATTAATGAGGTCTCCCCTCAGTCTCCTCTTCTCCAAGCTAAAGAGCCCCAGCTCCCTCAGCCTTTCCTCAGCAGGGAGATGCTCCACTCCCTTCATCATCTTGGTGGCTCTGTGCTTGATACCGGCGTTTCAGATCTGAGACAGGTTTGCTCTGTTATGGACAGTGATTCTTGTCCCACCCTCGCATGAACTGACTTTCTTGGGGTTTTATCAAACCAGATTTGATTGTGTGAGCTAGTACGAGGGCTGAGACTGCTCAGTAGTGAGGAAGACATGGATATATAAACATCTGCATGAAAGAAGCTCAGATTCAGTTCTTCTGGTAGGTTATAAGCCACCTGAATTATCTCAGCCTTAGGCAGGACAAACCCGTGGTTTCACCAGCACGCGTTCTGTGAAACACAGTCTGAGGAGGGTGGGCAGAGCGATGCCTGTTCTCTCTGGTGTTTAAAATAAGACCGTGTGGCTCCTCCCGCCCCCCCAAGCTTTTTTTGCTGAACCATGCAGGGCATGGTCTTGTGTCTCTGTTTTTGTTAATTCCCTCGTGGACTCTTTTCCTCCACAGAATCCCATGCTGGGAGGATTTCTGACCATCCTGGCCAGCAGAATAGATATGATTTCGTATCTGTTCCTTATAAACTCTACCTGGGTTGAGTATATTCACAGCTGGATTTGGCAGCTTGAGAGGTCTCTCAATAAAAAATTCAAGACTGGGCAGGCTTTTGGCATCTGGCACTGGTGGATGAGGAACACGGAGCCCAGCCTCCCTCTCCAGCTGTTTATGCTTCTGAGCTCTGTTAACCTTTTTCTCTGAATATTTTCTTCTTGAGGACCCAGCTCCCCTGGTTTGCACAGGGCCACATTCTTTCTCTGGCCAAAGCCTTGGTCCTGGGAGGGCAGAGCATTGTTCTCCTTGAAGGTGGCATCGGTGTCTCACTCACTGCCTGGCAGGGTTGCCGTCACCATGCCAGGGTTTGTGCTGGCTTGAATTCTGCTGTTCTGATTCAGCAAAACAAATACGCTCAAACCCTCAGCTGCACAGTGTTTTGATGAACTGTATGTGGCCTTTTTCTGGGCTGTCCTCTCGTATCTTACATTTCTTTACATGTATTTAAAAAGTAGGGTTGTTTGATTGCTTAAGTTACTAGTAAGCGACAAAACTCTGGTTCCTTGACCACCCCAGTACCCACCATTGCAAATTAAAATTTGTCGTTATAATGCTCCTTACAGATGGTTTGAGTTAAATATGATGTGACTAGCAAGTATGGTGTTACTTGGTTAATATTCGGATGATTCATGTTTCCTTTCTGGCACCAATTGTGAAAATGCTTTAAGTTTTTTTTTTATTTATTTAAAAAAAGATGATTGTTAAATACAATGGTTGCTTTTTAAAAGCAACTATTATTGAGAATTATTTCAATTAAAAGCAAAACTAAAGTTTGGGTTTGTTTTTTTTAAAAAGGCAGGGAAAATGACCTGAATAACTATAAACCAGGTGACCTGCATTTGATCTCTGACAAAATAGGTTGGGGTTTTTGGGGGATTTTTTTTAATTTTTGGTTGGAGAGTCAGTTATATTAAAGATGTAACAATACAGCTAATATCAGCCCATCTAGAAGTGTGGAAATAGATCTTGCAAAGCAAGCAAACTTCATATTTTGGGAAGAGGTTGAAAGTCCAGTTGATAAAGGTCACTGATGTATTTTTAAACTACTATAATATGCTTGATTTTTTGAGTCAGTACATCTTATTTAATTAATGAGATTACTAGTAAGAGCAAATAGAGGCCATATAAAATAGATTAAAATTGACAGTAATCTCATCCTCT